CTACTATTGATTCTTAACAATAGTCATTCTTTGTCCTACACTTATTGAATAGATTAAGATATATATTCTTTTGTATGCATTTTATCGTTTTTAGTTTTTATGGTTACTCTCGGTTTTAATTGAAATGCGCATTACCCACATAGTTTATTAATGATTCATTCATTTTGTAATATACACGAGACTCGTCGTTCACTCTATATGGATATGGATATTTTCTGAACCATTCATATAAACATTTTTAAGATTTCATATTAAACATTATCACCATTGTCACCTTGTAATTGATATACACCTACGCAAATTCCACTGACCAGAGGAGCCTGAAATACTAGAAATAAAAGTCTAACATATGTTTGTAAAACCTTAAGGGAGAAACTATCGCAAAACATGTTATGGTTTAAATTGTTTTTTATAACTATATTGATGTCCATCTAATAACTAACTCATAATAATTCATATTAGACGGCTACTTACTCATCTCATTGGACAGCAGTTGGATAAGGTTAGGAATTGGTTGAATTACTAAACGGTAGTTCATTGACGTTGGATTAACAGCTTGCAAAGAGACCTGAAAGAGTTAGATTCAATTTGTGTTGGAGGATAAGCACTGTTAATGAGTCTCGTATTATGATAAAACAGCCGTTTTGTGCTTCCTTGTTTTCAGCGGTTCCCTGATGAAGGTCATTATGTGATGTAAACTACAGAATTAAGATCTTTATTTTCAAAATCCATTTTCTGGAATCATTTTCAAAGCTGTAACACTGGGAACTGATTCATATCAAATAATTCATTATGTCAGCAAAAGTTATCCAAATAGATGGTATTAATGTACATGAAGTATCAAATATTATAGTTTACTGCAATTCATAAATCAGTCTAATATTCATCTGCTCTAATATACTTTTACATGGATACTGAAAATATGTTTAATGCTTAGAAATATAACTAAGTATCAATGAATTATTTCAGATATAAACTGTACATCATTTGTTAGCTGTTGGTAACTATTTAGATTTCTAAACTGAGCGAAGTGAATAAAAATAGTTAGGTATTAAAATTCTATCAATTATTATATCTCCATGTTGTACTTCTTATTCATTTTAGTTTTCTGTATGACTGTTAATTAAAATATTGAGTTTTTAATATAATTTCATTAATTGATTTAAGGAACATTTAATCTTACCAGTTAATTATCTTTCTTGGAGAGATTTTATTTTCTTAGTATACAATGTATTTTTCAAAATTATAAGATGTTAAATTCACATGGTGTTATTTTACTTGTATCTTCCCATTGCCACTATCCATCTTTGCTATAATATATGCTTTATAAAATGACTGGATACTGTCATCTACTACTTTGGTTCTCAGTATGAAATAAAAATGATCTATGATGTTTGATCTGAGAAAATTTCCAGTTTTGTAGTTAAGATTTATCTTAAATTATTTTCACCAATATTTAACCCATATTTCTCTGAAGATTATTTGTATGTCTGTATGTATGTAATAAATTATAAAGAAATCTACACTGAACAAGTCTGGATACAAGATACTATTTGTCTACGCAGTCAGGGACTTTTAGCTACGGTTCCAGTTGAATAGAATACCTGATTCTTGTTCTGGCTCTTGCTAATTTAAAAGATAAATCTTGCTCTGAAGATCTTTGTGAAAAAGCCACACAAGTAAAAGTAGTCTACAAATAAACCCTTGGGTGTTAGACAAGAAATTAGCACATCAAAGTTACAAGTCAGTGAGAAAAAACTACGTCGGGAGTAGTAAAAAGATTAGACCTTGAGTAAGGAATTTTAACAGAACAACAACAAAATTTCAAATGTTTAACACACAAAATAATAAACAGGTATTTATATACATAAGTAATTTCTCTATGACCATTTGAAACTTATTTGCCAATACACTAACTAATCGTAAAAGAAACTCCTCGAGTATTCGTTTAAAATACTTGTTTACAATGACCCAAGTTGTGCACATGAAATTTTACTAATTTTTATCAACCTTAGTCAATTTATGGTATGATCCTACTATAATTCCACATCATCAATGGTCAAATGTTTCGATTTTGAGGTTGTTGTCTCCACAGGTAGTAGCTACAATAAAACTTCTGCAGTTCTTTCTGTAGCCTAGCTATAGCTGATATAGAATTGTCTTGCTTTGATTCATTTCAAATTTAAATTTATATCACGAACGGACAAATTTTAGACCATCAATGGAAACCTGGAAGCACTGGGCACTAGTATGGATGTCCTCAGGGAGGTAGTTCCTCACTGACAACAATGGTGGACGGTCGCGCGATATTGTGGATTGATTGAAGTTAAACATTAACACCATTGGATGCCGGCTCAGTGGTCTAGAATTTGAGCGTTTTCGTGCGAGCCCGAAGGTTGGGTTCGGATCTCGCTTGTGGGATCTCGGATGCGCACTTCTGAGGAGTCCGATACTAGGACGAAACGGCCGTCCAATGCTTCCAGGTTTACAGTGGTTGTCTAACATTCATCCATTTATCATATCAGTTTAAACTCAACAATCTTCACAACCCTATACTGGCATTCCAAATTGCTGTAAACAACTTATTAAGTCAACCTATGTTTCTCCCAAACTCTTTATGAGGGAATAATGCTTAAATAAGCTGTCGGAATGATTTGATCAGTGATTCCGAAAATAAAATGACTGAAATTTCAGAATTCGTTAACAAAATAAAACTTGAAGACAACAAGGCCAATAAGATAAAACTAGAACTGACGATTTCTACTATTAAAAATTATGGATGAACTATGGGTGGAACAAAACAGTTTCGTTTATTTGTGTATATTAGTGAAAAATTGCAAATCAAACCACATTCCGGAAAAATGAGAATAAATAAATTTGTTACAGTTAATAAAGATTGCTGAATTAAATTTATCAAGTTTTTCGTGTACATGTTTTCTGAGAATAATATTGTTGTAATTAAATTTTTTTTTTTTTTCAAGTGAATAAAGGCTAGACATATACTCAACTGTTTATATGAAATTCATGAACATTACAAATGGACAATCTGTCATATTAAATTTATCTTCATATTTAGATAATATTAATGATTAGACTAAGTTCAAGGTTCATTTGAAGAGTATTAAATTTTATAAAGTCTTAAATCTGATAAATTTATATAAACCACACTAATTTACATGTCATTACAGAGTAGGTACCAGAAAGTCACGTGAATAAAGCAAGTTTACCGTTCAATAGTAGTATAGATTCAGACAGTTCATGTGTTGTTGAAGATCAACTTAGTACGAAATGATATCAACTGTAACATTTCTGAATATCAAGAAATAAAACAAATATGTTGTCTTACATAAGGGCTGTGCAGCAGTGGACACTAGAAACTATAGAAGCATTCAAATATAGAAATGTATTTCAATCCCTATCCACTGTTATTGATCAGTTAACAAGACTTAATTGTGAAGAAAATGAAGTTAAGAACAAGACAGTAACTCGTGAATGACATTCGATAGGGATCTCAGGGTATATCAACATTAGGTCCTGGGTTCGAATCCCGCGTGGTGCAGGATCGTGGATGCGCACTGCTGAGGAGTCCCACAATAGAACGAAACGGACGCCCAGTGCTTCCAGGTTTTCCATAGTGGTCTAGCTTCAATTGACTAATGATCTTAACTACTGAAATTACTAATATCTCCGCAAAGTCCCTTCTGGTATATCAACATATTGACTGGAATTGAGGTAGGGAACATCTGCTCAGCATTCTGAAGGTTTTGGTTCCAAGTTCAACGCTAAAATGTATGGATTTTGATACTTTTTGATGTTGTGAATGAGCACTTTCGAATTTTTGAACTGGTGCAAGTAGATGCTTAGTATTTCATGGACTTAAAAGACATGCATGTATATATCTCTGTAGTAATCACTTTAGTTGTAGTCATATGATTTCTATTAACAACAAATTTGTTGAGTTTCGCTGATTTTATATTATCTAACCCTTGTTGTGTTTTTTTAATTACACCTTTCAGTTCAAATCATATGAATGAGTACCATATATTTTAACTACCAGGAAAAATAGGATTCCCAAAATACGATCATTTAAAAGTTACCATTGAATCTTTAATAATCAGTTAATAAGGTTTAGTAATCGGTTTAATAGAATATTTAAGAACAAAGAATAATAATGTGAACGATCGTTCTGAATGACTCATCATCTAGTTCTACAGTCATAAATCCGAAATTATTATCATTATGTTGCAATAGATAAGTATAGTTATTTATTTATTATCTAAAATTCTACAATTAATAGATAATTACTGAATGCATTTCTACTTCATAAATGTTAAAATAAACTAGTTCTTAAGATTATATGTCTATAGGAAATCAGAGTAAATTCTGGATGTTAAATCCAATGCTCATACATTTCCTTATCGTGGTATATCTCTCACCTTGTGGACATTGGTAATATATTAGAGGCTCAATTCCTTACAAACTAATGCTGGAGTCGGAAACTTCAATAGTAAATCAATTCAATTACGATCTATCTAATCTGAGTACTCGGTGTATAGTTCAGCAAACTGATTTCTACCGACTGTATTATATTTTGGTCAAATGCATGATTTCTTCGTGTTGTTTTTTTACATTTCCTAACACAATTATGAATCCCATAGAGTAACTAATCTTGTAAATTAAGAACTACATATTATTGCATTGTATTCCAATTTGAATTTAACTTTCTAATTGATTAACTCGTAACCTTTTTTCCTTAGATTTTAATCATGTACACTATTTGTTCTTAACTGTTCAATCAGTCTAATGTTTTTCACAATTACAAAATTTCAATCTTAGTTATATCAGAGCGATCAGTAAGTCCCTAGATAATAATTATTATTATCAATATGTGAAATACTATTCTGATATATTCAACAATAGTTAATAATCATAAGAATCAAACTTAAATCAACGAAGATTTTCTCCCTACTCAAGAGTTACGTTTACAGCTCCTCAACTGGATGTTACTATGTTCTGTGATAAAATTATTTTTACAGTCGAACTTAGATCCGATTGTCTGTTTTTTAAATAATAAAATTCATATAACTTTGCAACAGTTTCATCTTACATTACTACGAAAATTAATTATTACTTTGGCGGCTGTTGACTACGCCGTGTTTCACTCGCCCTCTTTAATAATACTTAACATTTTCACAGTTTAAAAGGACATTTTTAGTCAATACACCTGATAAATTTCTCCAATTTAGCTTGTAGTCTACCTATTTGGTCTGAGATAGTCCGTTAATATTAATTCATTCTATTCATTATAATAATTATCATATGCTCATTATCACGTCGGGCTCACCACTTCAGTGGGCCTTAATCTAACTGCAGTTGGATCGTACAAATGATTATTATTAAAAAATACATGTTGCCAATCCTCGTATATAACTATTGACTTAACTCGAGTTTGAGAATAACGGAATTAAATAAGTCAAATATAGGAATGGATTTTTGAATACATATGTTTCGTGCAATCGTTGATCGGAAAGCGAAGCAAAACGAAATGACGCGCAGTGGATAAGACAAGTGAGCCAACTCAATGTAACCAAACGTGACTCAATATTTATTGCCAAACCAAAAGTAGGTTACAGACATGTGATGAGTAAGATAAGAAATGCACACATACGCTTACATAAAAACAGTTAAGGTTGATACACGAATAAGTGACATGGTGAAAATGTGGCTTGAGAAGAATGAATAGATTGATCTGTCCAGAGGCTAGAATAATGTATGTGGTATTGACATAGTACCAGCCGCTACACTACATTAGAACTATTTAGCTGAGTCCACCACTTAACACACAGTATGTGAGTGGGTATTCACGACTATCCATTGCTCTGTGATGTCAAATGTTCTTCAGGAACATATATTAATATAGTCGGAAGTAGGAGTCACGGTAATGTATTAACAGCGCTACCATTTCAGCAGATAAAAATGGATGAGTCTTTAACGATTCTTTATCAAGCTTCGAATAATCCAATCAAATATGTAGGATTACATAAATGAAGCGATCGGCATCAACTCCAGAAAACTAAACTCATGTAGCTAAGAGAGTTTTATTCAACCTCTACATTTACCATATACAGTGACTAGGTCGCTCCACACACAAACCACATATTATAAGCCATTACCTCACAATCCCCTTTCATGCTTATCTTATCCATCTCGAATTAATGTTCGTAATCTGCCAAGTGAAAAAGGATGGTGGTGTTGACAGATTAGGTGAGTCCACTTCCTAGCCACTCTGGTACATGCTCTTAAACGTGTGAGGATAAGACACTCTGAATGTGCTCTATGTTACTAGTGATTTTGGCCAGATATTATGTGAATTTTAATACAAAATGCGGAGATAATTTACCATGAAGACAAGTGCCAAACTCTTTTACATTGTGTAATCTCCGTAAGTCAGAAATATTTTAATTATTAACTTGAAATGCAAGTCTATGTGACACAATGACAGTTACGTATCACTTAAAGAAACCTTATTGAATCTAGTTGAAGATTCCTAAATATAATAAAATGTTTATCATCAATTGGATTCATGGATATCATTGAGTAATCACTTACACCAAATGTATAAAATCTTTAGAATATACAGCAATTACGTTGTGTTGATCTATCTAATAAATTTCAGTGCCATAGTTTTAATGCGTTTTAATGTGTTTTCAATAGTTTGTCTCTAGCCTAAATAGACATATCTGTCATTAGTCAATGTAGACTTTTGCATTTGTTACATTCACTTTTGTTAAATGGATCTGGTGTAAATTCAAACATGTCGTAAACGGTGACACACTTATTCACGTAGTTCGATAGCATTATCAGATAACTTCACATAAATTCATGTATGTGCTTGTTTGTAGGATACATTGATGTATATATTTACATATGTGAGTGTGGAAAAGTTACGTCAAAGCTGGATGCTGAATCATCAGTGAATGATAAAGTAAAACAAGTCGCGAAATGTTGATTAATAGACTGAAACAAAATGCCTACGATGTTTACAAAGTATACAAAAATATAGTATGTGTTTCATAGTGGACAGAAAACCAACTATCGATGAATTATGGATAACATTGTTTAGTGGAAAGAAATAATTTTACAAGTATGATGATTGATTTTTAAGTGTAAACCTTGGTCAATGAAGAATTCTATCCTCCAGTTACCTTGTAAGTAGCTAGTAGTTCATATAACTTAACTGGTGAACATACAAACTATCCATAAATGTACAAATCCATCACCAAATAGCAACTTTGTGAAATCTGTTGTTAGAATAAATCATGTTTTAGAAACGTTATGTGTTCTGTAACTGACATGTCATCTTTTCTCACTAACTAGAAAGCGAGTACTGTATCCAAGTAAAAGACGTCTCTATAGTCTCACACCAAATCAACTGGACGGTACAGGATTGCACATCTTTGCTGAGACCCTCTATTTATTCACAACAGGATCACTACATTCTCAAGATCAATGTTATTAATCCTTTATACAGCGTCTTATTATGCCCCCCCCCCTATAAACTCCTACTTTTCTGCTACAACATTCTAAATCACAAGATGTTCTTGGGGTGGTAAAGAGACCACTAAAATGAATGTATTTGTAAGTCTTCGGCACTGATTTGGACCACATTAGCTTTACAGGACAAACCCCTAGCTGAGGGAGCTCAGTCAAGCATCCGCATCGTATCGCATTTGGGTACGTTGTGCTGAGAATATCTTAAAGTTCGTCAGGTTAGATTACGTACACATTGATGCATCAATCATTCTGCAAATACATTTATGAACCCTTTCATTGCTGACGTTTAGTTTTACTGGATTTTTTTATCCTTGTACAAAAACTGCTTTGAACAATAGCATAGTAAAGAACTATATCCACAACTTTATTCTTAGGACTATGATCGAAATTTCTTCTACATAATATTTCTCCAATTATTAATTCCATTTCATCTCATTTCTGTATGATTAACAATGGCCTTCATGAAACAGTAGTTAATGATTTTCAACTAACAACCTAAGGATGAAGTTTTAAAAATAACAACAGTTCTCTCTTTGTTTTTAAATAAGTCACACGATATAAGCTTGTGAAGATATCCATCCTTTTAAAATCTTCAATAAGAGTGCGATATCTGGCATTTTCAAACACTTTCATTCACTTTACGTTTCAATGTTGCATATAAGAATATAATTTCTATTTCGAATTTTATGCTAATTACTTAAAGCTATCTAAATATGTTTCCAATGAGCACTTTACAGTAGCATATCCCAATGTGCCTCATTTAAAAACCAAATGAATTGAAAGTTAGAGCTTGAAGTGAAATGCCCTATAAAAATTGTTCCTGTGCATGCAGCATATACTCACTGAATGAATGAAAAAATGCTAGAGATTACAAGCATATAGAACACTAAGAGGTTATTAGTCTTTCTTTGCCTTGGTGGCATAAACATTGCTTAATTATATCAGAAAATTTCGTCCGACTGTTTCTTCCAGTTACTAAATCATCAGGTCTTTTTATTCTGACTATCTTGTAAATTTGTCATTTTATTCTAGCTGAAATTTACTCATTTTCTTCTTACCAATTATCAAAGTTTATTCGCTACGTAACTACTTGTTTCTAGCTGTTTGGTTTTTTTGTTAATATCATTATTATAGAATGTTCTTTCATATAAGATTAACTTGTAATATTTTATTTAATTGTTCAACTTTATTTACATCCTTACAATATTGCACTAATGTGTGATCACAGAAACTTTCAACCAAACTCTTTCATGTAAATAATTTAAACTCATTTTATCATTATGAGTTTCAAGTAAGCGGCTGACGAGAAGCAGATAAAATAAAATGAATCTATCCTATCCGAGTCGAATATTCATTCTTTCTCTCCCTAAAATTTAATATAACATGAATATTTTACGGGGCCGAAACTTGGAGAACCACGAAAGCCATCATCCAGAAGATACAGGTGTTTGTTAACAGTTGTCTACGCAAAATACTTCAGATCCGATGACTATGGGAGAGAGCGAACCAGATCCCAGTGGAAGAAAACGTCAGGAAGAAGAGCTGCGGGTGGATAAGACACACATTGTGGAAAGCACCCAACTGAGTCACAAGACAAGTCCTCACATGGAATCCTAAAGTCCAAAGTAGAAGAGAAAGACGAAAAAACACATTGCGCCGAGAAACGGAGACAAACATGAGAAGAATGAACACTAACTGGATAGAACTAGAAAGGAAGACCCAGGACAGAGTGGGTTTGAGAATACTGGCCGGTGGCCTATGCTCCAGTGGGAGTAAATGATGTAAATAAGTAAGTAAATAAGACTTGCATATTGAATCGCCTTATAAAGTGAGTATGCGAGTTCAGAAATAAAAATCTTGTTATTACAACTTAGTACTTACTAACTGAACAACCAAGAACATATCTAAATTTATTTCACACAGTTTCAGAGTGTCCGCTATTGTGGTATAAAAATTTCATAAAAATTTCACACGCTAGGCCATTTTACAGTATTTTTTTTAAATGTTCATCTGTCCATTAAATACCTTAGCCATTAGTTCAGAGATTGTTTCATCAGTCAATTACAGTTAACATGAAAAATTGTGTCTACTGATGAATATGCTGAGAAATATAAATATAACTGAAGATTGTGAAAGAGAAAACTCAAATAGAAAAGGAATGGTAAATTAGAAAAACATTGATCACTAAATAATTGTTAATTTAGAAATTTCATTGGTTGAAATCATGAGTCGATCGAAGCTAGACCACCATGGAAAACGTGGGAGCACTGGACGGCCGTTTCGTCCTAGTATGGGACTCCTCAGCCATGTGCATCCACGACCCCGCACCACGCCGGGTTCAAACCCAGGACCTACTGGCTTACGCGCGCGAGCACTTAACCACTAGACCATTAAGCCCACATCCAACGGTGTTAACACCGTCTAGCTTCGATCGACTCATGATTTCAACCTATGAAATTTCTAAGAAACTCTCCACAAAACCCATTCTGATAATTGTTAATTTAATTTATTCTATTGATTTGCATACGAAACATGATATTTAACTTAGGAATTTCCTATTCCACCATATAACTCGCAGTTTGTCATAAAAGTGGGGGTTTTTTCTATTGGTGATCAGTGATATGAAAGATGTAGCTAGATG